TCCATCCAAGGAAACACACTGCTGCAAATTCACAGCAAAATGCGAAGTCCCCCCTCATCTAAATAACAGCCCTATTCCAATAAACCTCTGTACCCTTTTCCAGAAGGTGGGAAGCTTAGCCAATGACCAGAAAAATGAGCAGTCAGCTAATTAACCTGACGCCTTTTAGAAGTCTACTTATGCTCAAATTTGCAAACTGTATCAGGTTGATGACTTTTCTTCTTTTAAAGAGTTCATATTTTTAATGTCATCATGAGAAATAAATGCAGAACAAAAAAATAGTTCACTCATAATTCTGTGCCTTCAAAAATTAAAAACTTTTTAATTATTCCTCTTCCCTTCAAATCTTAATCAGAATCATATACAATTTCTATATTATGTGTAATATAGAAATATATAATATATGTTATAACATAGAAATATATAATAGATATTATAATATATAATATATAAATATTTCAGAGAGATATTTTATATGTAAATACAGTTTCAAAATCTGTATTTTTTTTCCTACTTAACACTATATCTTCAGTACTTCCCCACAATGATACATAGAAGTTTCTAAAACAATCATTTCCCCAGCAGGGAGATCACTTCAAAAGTTACTGTCATTTATGTAGAATATTATCATCATTGAATTGGGACTGACAAACAAATAGCATATTTTTATGACATCTAAGAAATATTTCAGAAAGCCTTTCCTACAGGCTTATACAGATTTATATTGCCACCTGACTTCTTGATACTGGAAGCCTGGGTAGAAACCAAGTAACTGAATGAACTAAAACAATGGAAAATGTGTATGTTTCTCCTCCTCAAAATCACAACTTCAGGCCTCCAAATCACATATTTATATTTCAGAGATATATAGAGCATGGCCAAATGGTAAGATCCAAACATGTATTACCACAGAAGTCAACAAGGAGTTTTTAGCATCACTGTCCAATTTCAAAAGTCAATGAAAAATAACTGAAATACCTTGGAGGAGAGAAAGCACTTAGCTTGCATGTCCACCAGATAGTTCAAAAACAATTATCACCCATTGGAAGATTTAAAGCAAAAATCTGGCTTTGAGAAATCATTTTTACATTTAGAAACAAGAGCATCCTGACTTTGCTAAGGGATTACTAGCATGCTTGCCTAAAAGGAACAGTCAAAAATCTCAGAAATTCTCCCTTGTCCTAAAGGGTTGTTTAATATTTATTTGGGTAGAAACTAATCCCTCTCCTGGGGCACCTAGCTGGCTCAGTAGGTTAAGCATCCGACTTTGGCTCAAGTCATGATCTCATGGTTTGTGGGTTCGAGCCCCGCGTTGGGCTCTGTGCTGACAGCTAGCTCAGAGCCTGGAGCTTGTTTCAGATTCTGTGTCTCCCTCTCTCTCTGATCCTCCCCTGTTCACACTGTCTCTCTCTCTCTCTCAGAAATAAATAAAACATTTTTTAAAAAAAGGAAAAAAAGAAACTAATCCCTCTCCCTTAAATGAAGATATATATGTGCATAAACAAGCATGCCCACATAAGCATACAAGTGTGTGTACATAAGTATACATTAGTAGTCAGAATTGCAAAGTAGCTATTGATACATTGCTTTCTAGAAACTCACAGATAAGACATATGCTTAGCAAAGACAACCTCTGCCAAAAAAGTCTTCTGGGTTCTTTCTCTGTAATCTGCAAACATTCTTGTATTTTTCATTCTTATTTATTGTTATTGTATCTCTTCAAATGTAGAAAGAGAAGTTGTGTTCATATACACAATAATCATAAAACCATACATAGGTAAAGTGATTGGGTGTTGTGAACAAATCTTGAAGTCATTTAGCAATGAACTTGTTAACTCTGGCTAATGCTGAGAAGAGTAGGAATGAGTAAATGCATTGAGGGGTAGACTTATTAAAAGAATCTTGTATTTATGACTTCCTAAGGGGTAGAAAGTCAGTGTTTTGGCAATTGTATTATCTTTAAGTAAATGCGAAATCAACAGTCTTAACAGACCTAAATGACTCTAAATTATTCTTTGGATGGACATATTCATTATGGCCATATGAAAATACTCTCAGAATGGACAGAATACTAAGGGGTAAATGCTAATATACCAAGTATATTTCACTGTATATACATTTTACATAATAATATGCATACATGCATTGACTTATATTATGAGTAAATATGACCATACCTTACAGCCTCAAAAGAGATACGCCCATGTTAAAAGTGTACAGAAGCACAAAACTGCAATGCAGAGACAGGGAGGCAATCATTCCCCTAGTGTGTTTGAGATTTTGACTCTAGGCACTTAGTACTTAATCCCGGTGTCCAGAACAACTTAAAGTTAAGGTGTTCACAGCAACAACCAATCAATCGTTTGAAAACCAATACTCTGGGTATTTTTGAGTAGTAACTGTCAGCTCTTTAAAATAAGTGAGTGCAAAATGACAATCAATTAAATATAGTCCATGCCACAAATCAAAAAGTGTTAGCCAAAGTACATACATATCAATCAGACATTTTTTAGCTCGTCAATTCAGTATAGAAGAAGAGACAACATGTAATGAAAGGTGAATATGGTCTTCATGTGAAATTTCGGCTCCTGGTCAGAATAGAATGGGAAGTCAAGGGTAAGCAGAGACAAGGAGAGGGATGTTTTTAAAATCAACTCACTCCATCAGGGTGGGAATGGACTCCTAGCAAGCTGAAGGACAAGAATTTCAATGAATACATATTAAGGGATAGTTTCCTTTTGTGACAAATAGTTTTATTTTCCAATTTATGCAATGATAGTAAGTTTCCTTTTGAAAGGATTTGAAAGAAAACGGGCCAATTTTAAAGTGAAACCTGTTGTTAAAACAAACAAACAAACAAGCAATATAAACTCCCCGTGGACACTGCACAAAGAGAATGGGAAGAACTACAGGTCATTATAACATTGCTCAACAGCACTTGTCACAGCTGAGTGGTGCCCCAACTTGCTGGGCCGGTCAGGGAATGACCATATTCCAGTTAACCCTCTGAGCGCAGGCTCACCTGGAACATCCGAAGCATGAAACTGAATGTGTGCAATATGTTCTGCTTTGTTAACTGACGTTAAATTCAAATGCTATCACTCAGGACTTGGATGCAACTTTTTTCAGTAAGCAAATCTCAACTCCTCTATAAACAATGCATGAAAAGATTTCTCTGAAAGGAAACCATTTTCTGAACACGAAAACATAAAAAAATACCTTATCTGTCCAATATGATTAAATTCTCAGATCATTGACTAAATATGGAAGACCAGACACAAATAGATACATGTGATATATACTTTTGCCTAAAGATATTAGGTTACATTACAGGGAAAAGTATCTAATTTATTAACCATGTGTTAGTCAACACTTCTATTACAAAAAGCAATAGTTACTTAAATGAAGCCTTATGTTTTGTTTCCAGGCTCTAAGGCCTAATGTTCTCAAGAAGCATGAGTCTCAACTGAGACGGATCAACCTGGTAAAATGTAAATACATTTGCAGAGATACTAAATCACTATTTTTTAATGTACTAAAACAAAAGACGGCAGTTTGGCAAAAATAAACATATAGGTAATCTTTGTAATAAAAGAATTAGAGAACAATAAGCAATTACTAAGGCAACTGTCTATCTGAGTGAGGCCATTCTTCCAGATTTGTTCTCAAACCTCTAGTCATCATGTAACATTATATGTTTTTCATTGCCATTACAAAGGAAAATAGCAATTACTACCTAGAAATTTTTTTTTAAATCAATAAACATGGCCTTTAAATTAGATTAAAATACAAAACGATCAACATTATTTTTGAAGACTAATTGTGATTAAACTTTTCTTTGAATTACATGCTGTAGAGCCTTAAAATTTTGACATATGAATAATTTTCAGTCAAAACTTGAAATTAAGAAAACTTTACACTGACAAAATTGCCACTGGGCCATCACTGATTTTGAGTATTATTAGGAATTTTCATTGATGGCACTTGATGTACACATTCATTCTGCTCTACAAAACAGAACAACAAGCAAGATATTTTAACTTATTCAAATGAGAGAATACAGTCCCTCTGAATCATAACCTCTGTTCTTTAGGAAATAACTTAAAAATATGGCAGAAAAATACTTATGAATTGCAGATTTCTAGGTATATGTCAGCACTCTATTTTCATCTTCTCATTTTTGAAGAGAAGAATCTTGGTCTCAGGAAAAGTCACAAACTTATTCTGAGATCAAATTGTCTTGATTTTTAACAAAACAGATCAAGTGAAAGGCATGAAATGTTACTTTGAGCCACTAATAACAACTTAAAACTTCTCAGGATATCTAGTCAGATTTTTCACTAGTAAAATGGATATTAATTATTGTAAAAGGGACCGAAACCACCAGAACATTCATTGGCACACATCCACGTTTCTTTATTCTAACCCAGAAAACAAATGGCAGCCACTATTTAGCCATGCCATTGTAATGAGCTTTCATTCTTCTCACTCTGGTTCATTACCCAAACTTCTGAACCCAAATCATGTTCAAATCATTTGAAAGTTACCAGAACCAATATGATGATCACTTCCCAAACTTGGAATATGGATGACCAGGGCAGAATACTGTTTCTATTTCCCATGGGAATTGAGGGGGTGGGGGGAGTTGGTGGGGTGGTGGTGGTGGTGGTGGCGGCTAGTTCCTTTGAAACTAAATGTATAAACAAAAAAAGGAATTTGATTTTTCTTTTCCTCATTCTACATGATCTCTATGATCTGTTCGGTGTGTGTTTTTGCATATATGTAAAAAGAGAAAGATAGTTCTATTTATTTAGCCCTCGGTAGTAATTATGTATAATACATTTAAAAACATGTTCATACCTGGTATCTTCAAATCCAACTGAAAAGACCATAAGGGAAGTTCTTGCTTAGTTACAGATCATAATTCACCTATAACCCCCAACTCAAGCCCTGAATATTCTCATAAAGGACATGATACTAGGTAAAAAGTAAAACTTTACCCTAATGAAGAGGATCTTTTCTCCCACTCGGTATCTTCCTTGAGACAGCCTCTCCACACAGAATTTGTTTGGGCATTTGCAAGGAGGATCTTCAGAAATTCGCTTCACCTGAAAGAGAAGAGCGAGCAAGTTCATTTTCCTTAATCAAGTTCCATTTAGATTGATTTGTTCCAAGGGTTCAAAGGCCCTGGACCATTAATATTTTTAAATTTATTCTATATCAAACTATGGACATGATATGAGCACAAAAATATCACATTACACCCTAACTATGTAAACGTCAGGCCCTGAAGGCATTTTCTGAAGGCCAATAACTGCACTGGGGCATAAGTTGGATGCTGACAATAATAGTGATGCCAGAGGATAATGGTGAGCAAATCCCTGGGCAGTGGAGGAATAATGAGTGAGGTTCTCACTGGGGAGAATTAAAAAGATTGTGCACATCCGGTTGCCAAGATAAACAGATTGAAAGCTAGAACAGAATGTATTTATCGATGCAAAATTTCCTTATCATAATTGTAATGATATTAATTTTACCATTTTCAAAATAAATGATTTTAAATTATTATTTTTAAAAAAATGAACCTATTGTTTCATATTATTTTAGACTCTAAGATTTCCTTTAGGGAGTAATTTCTACTTCACTCAGAGTCACCCAGAAATTCACCCCACCTCAGTAATCCTCATCTACCAAAACCTATTTGTGGCAGTATCTTCTAATTTATATGTTGTTATAGAATTCACGTCTGAATATCAGAGTCCATCTCTATTTTCTCTATCTCCCTACTCTTTAAAATACATAATCTAAGGGATATGCACATGACACTTATACATAGTTGTGGCCCTTAGATGATAATGGATAGTCCATGATTTTAGGAGTAAGTTTATACTTATGTTTTCCTTGACTGAGAAGCTGCCATGCTATATCTCATAACTGTCCTCTCTCAAACCAACAAAACAAGCCAGAACAATAATTTCCTGTGTTTTGAGCCAAAGTCACCATGGAAGAAAGAAAGAAAGGCTGCCATGTGCAACCTGCCTTTGAGAAGCTAGATAGAACAAATTTAGATTCTAAAGGAATTCACTTGGGCTCCCCTCACCCAAATTATTTATACAACAAAGATAGGGTTCCTGAAGTTTTGTCATTTTAAGTTTATTTATTTTGAGAGAGAAAGAGAGAGGGAGAGAGTAAGAGTACAAGTAGGAGAGGGCCAGAGAGAGAGGGAGAGAGAGAAAATCCTAAGTAGGCTCTGCACTGACAGCATGGAGCCCGATGCAGGAGTTGAACTCATGAACTATAAGATAGTTCAAGCTGAAACCAAAAGTCAGACACCTAACCTACTGAGCCACGGAGGTGCCCCGGGACTTTTCACATTAAAGAAACTCAAATAGTCCTTCAACTCAGTGTCTGACTTCAATCAGCCTTCCACTATGTATAAACCATGGGAAGAGTGACACATGAACACATGTGTATGGTGGTATGAAGGACTTAAACAGTGTGGTTTCTCTAGAATAAGAGAGGTTTTAGAAAGAATGGAAGCATAAGACACTAGAGGGAAAGCTAGAAAGGGTGGAGGAATCCTGACACAAAACTTAAGAACTATACAATATGCCTCAGTGAAGACCTATAAAGAAGAATCAACACTATTGCTGAGGGAATGAGAATCAACCTCAGGATGTCTATTTCCATCAGTCCCTTCTAGAATCCCTAATTTTACAAACATGCAAACTTATAACTCGTGGTACTTATTTTTACCATAGCAAATTGTATCTCAGTCATCGGTTAACCTCAATGTCTCTTTCCTAGATTGTGAGTTACATTGGGTTAAGATAGTATCTCATTATAGTTTTAAATTCTTGAAATAAAGCACGATGTCTTAATGGCATATGTGTTCAATAAATGCATATTAAGTAATAATTGAATGGTAAATGAAACATGTACCTGTACAGGACACAGGTGAAAATTAATGCAACAGATTAAGACTGGATTCAAAGAATCTTGGAAATGGCTTTCATTGAAAAAATGAGGAAACTACCTAACAATCATTAAGTTAGTGACTGGGCCTATGTCTTTGAGTTCTGAAATTTTTGTACTGTATAAAACTTGGCTCACAGCTATATCCACCCACCCACCCCAGTATTAAGAGAATTCTGTCCCTAGGGACTTTTTGAAGGGGTATGCTTGAACAAGATGACAATTGTAGAACAAGAAGCACAAAAACTGGGGAATACAAGTGTCATTCCCTTCCATAATGAGGAACCACGTTCTGGGGTATGGTGGTGTCAATGAATGTGGGCTCTTTTCAGAGTCCCTCTATGTGTTATCTCTTTCTAAATGTGTTTCCTAAAGTGTTTTAAAATAAAAATGTATACAAAGTATAATTATATAGAAATTATGTTGAATTTATACCACTGCTAATTAATACCATGACTTTTCACCACAATAGGGACTCCTGTGAGAAAGGAAGGAAGGGAAGGAGGAAAAGGAGGGAGGGAGGGAGAAGGACTTTGGCCATCCAGAAGAGAATCAAACAGTGGGCATTATAAAAACACATGGCCCAAATGTTAGGAGAGCCATGCTTGGCCCAGCTTCACTGCCACATAGTAACTGGACAAAACAGTAGACTGATGTCCAAGTGCTTCCTCTGCTAAGACAAGACATCACAATCACGTATGGAAAGTATTTCCACCTAGAAGTGTTCTTATATAGAACAAAGAAACTATTGGGACGAAATGAAGTAAAACACAAGGAACATTTTCCCAAGTGACCTGCCCTTCTCCAATGCCTTCCTAGCTTTGAAAATGGACTTTTTTTTTTTTTTTTTTTTTTTAATCAAGGGCTTTTTTGTAGTTCTGTGAGGGATGGAGGCAGAAATGGAAGAGACAAGGCCAGACTGTGGGTAGTGGAAATATATTGTTAAGTCAACAGTGACTGGTGACATCTGTGCTTCTAATATTACCTTGGGATAAGTCAGTCTGGCAGGTGTTCTGTTTTTGGCCAGGAACCCAGCCAATTTTCTGCTGAAATAGGATTTCAAGAGGAGCCTGATTACTCAGAATTATACTATCTCTCATCCCCAGACTGAGGAAGTTGATGGAGAAGAGGAAGAAAGTAAGAATGGTTTCTTAGAACTGTATTCAATTCATTGTGTGGGAACGCGCTCACCATGAGGGAAGGCAAACAGAGAACTCAACCTACCCTACTGTTTTATCACAGCTGATTCCCTCTATCTGGACATCTGGAGAATACATTCATCTGAATGGACTCCACTGTGTTTCTCTGATGATATCTTGATTAAAGAAGGTGGCATGGATTATCTGCATAAAGGGTCACCTTTTTTTTTTTTCAATTTTCCACAATTTCTCTAAGGAAATGTGAGGAAACGTTGAAAGTTTCAAACTGGCAGTTATTGTTGGAACTGTTTGTTGGAATATGATATCTTAGCACACGTCAGCTTCTCTTTCTTTTTCTTTTTCTTTATTCTTATCTCTTCCCCCCTCCTTTTTTTTCTTCTTTTGTTCCCCCTCTTTATCCTCCTTCCTTTCCTTTTTTTTTTTTTTTTTTTTTTGGTGAAATAACAACTTTTCCAGAGTAAAAATAGCCGATATGATTAACTAAACACAGGGACTTTGCAAGCAATTACTATCTTATACCCCTATTCTACAGCACATACCACAGCTCCTGACTTTCAACTCCCCAATTGGTTCTATGTGCCTTATTATATGCTGAAGCAGTCGCCATAGGAACTCTATCTATTGGACATATGAAGCTCTGATTTAAACCATTGGTGAGGCTCAGATTAGTTTTGTCTTTGTTCCACTGTCCCTGGAAATAAAACACACCAATGAGAAACGATCACTTAAGCAGAATGTGAATATTTCAACGCAATTTCTCCAACATAGAGTGAAGGACACTGTAAGAGACTCCTGTGGCCAAATAAGTTTGGAAAATTCCTGATTAAACAAGACCTTATTATAGAATTCATTACTGCCTTTGACACACCAAAGCACACTGCCCAACTCTGGATAGGGGCTGGAGTAAGCCATATTTCTCAAACTAACATAACCATGGAATTGTTTTCCCCATGGGGCATCTGGCAGCGTGTCTGATTAAACATTATTTGAGAGATGCTGGTTCCAAGACTTCTAAAACCTAGTATTCTAGCTGGCAACAATACAGAAATATCCACTTGACACATCTCCTACATTCAGTTAAAACTCCTTAACTAAATAGATGGTTATGTTCCCAAACTCCATTTGGTAAATGTTAAAGGGGGTTTAAAGCTCTTCTGAAATCCCATTCCTCGTTTGCAGTGGAGCGAACAGAACCTGGAGTAGAGAGAACCAGGACAGAGTGACCATCTGGCCATCTTAAAGACAGCACCCATCTCATTCTACTCCTCAATCGGAATATTGGCAAAAGTTCTCCAAAGTCCTTTCCATGCTTATCGGACCACCTTCCCCTTCCTGTCACTGTTCTCCTCTACTCAAGGATGAGGGATGATCACACACGGGACAAGCTGGTGAGGAAAAAAAAAAAAAAAAAAAAAAGGAACCTTTCTGGCTACTTCTCCCAAGTTCATGTAAATGGCTTCAAGTGGCAACGTCTCCGCCCCCTGCAAAGCTAGAGCACAGTTGAGTATTACACATATCCCCAGAGCACATGGCTCTTCTTCTTCATAAATAGAAAAAGGCAGAAGCTTTTGTAAATGTTTGTTAATTACATTGGTAATTTACCTAGTGTGCATGGCACTGGGTAGATAGAGATGAATGAAATATGGTCCTGTCACTGAAAACGAGACTTACACCCAGAGAAGAAGGTTATTTGTGCCCAATAAGGCACATCCCTCATTAAATATACACAAAACTTTGAGGCGTCAAGGACTACTTTGCTGGGACGCCAGGGTGGCTCAGTGGGTTAAGCATATGACTTCGGGTCAGGTCATGATCTTGTAGTTTGTGGGTTCGAGCCCCACATTGGGCTCTGTGCTGGCAGCTTGGAGCCTGGAGCCTGCTTCGAGTTCTGTGTCTCCCTGTCTCTCTGCCCCTCCCATGCTTACCCCTCCCCTTCAGAACTAAATAAATAAGCATTAAAAAAGGACTAATTTGTCATTTTGCCTGGGATAAGAGATGCCAACAAAACTTTATACAGGAGGCTGTGCAAATTGAATTTTAAAAGATGAAAAAGGTCTTAAGTGAACATTCAAAGGGTCTGTAAGCAGAACTCTGGTGAGGAAAGCAAGTGAGGAGAAACACAGGGTATAAAATTTCCTTAGAAATTTGGGATTAGCAGACATGCTTACAATGGATACATCAGAATGCAAGAATAAGTCCAGAGGATAAAAAGTCCAGGAAGGACAAAATGGCCTGGAATGTGTGACATATAAATGAGTTTGGGCATCACCCTGGAATGTCACAGGGAAGCTCTATATAATTTAATCAAATCTGGGTTGTATTTTTTTGCTGATCATTCTGGTAGCAATAATGTTCACGGGGGGAACTTTCAAGAACAGAAGAGTAAACAGTATCAAACAACAGAAACCGCTCTCATAATTTGAGAACTAAAAAAAAAAAAAATCATTTGGCTCAGAAATTCACTGATTAAAAAGCTAAGTGTTGACTTGGCCAGACCTCTGCCTATAATGCATTGGAGAAAGTGAACAGAAGTCACAGTTAATATGAAAGGAAAAAAAAAAATCAAGGGCAGTAGCCCCAGAGAAACACTTTATAAGGACTAAAGGAACATCTTACTCTAAAGTAAGTTGAGTCAGAGAAGAATAGCTGGGAGAGAAAAAAATAAATGTTCTCATCAATTTATAAATAATACACTATTATCTACTATGAATACAATATTTTGTTTAATTTCCTTACACAATAAAAATGAAATAATATGAGAAGCAAGCAAAGCATGTGACAAACCTAAAAACAGTCTTGTGATTATAAAATCCTTTTAGATGGCATTGTATTAACATGCTCTGCCTAGTCTTTAATTCCCGAGTGGATTGAACAAAAGAAAACTCAATTAAACTGGTATCGACTAAGATATCCTGACAAGCTAAGTTTAAGCTTGCTGCCCTTAGAAATGGAAATTCTCAACCAGTCAAACTGTTGCACTTCTGCTCATCTGAATCTGCAATATAGGCCGTCGTGTCACATGGGGAAAAGCAAAAGATGAGGCAATCTCTCTTTCTGCAACCAATAGTGTCAGTCAGCCATTTTCCCAGCTCTTTGCAGCTCAGACCCTAGAGAAGTAGGCCCAGCTCTGGGCCAGAGCTGCTTCCCAGTCCTGCCTAGCCCACATAACTGGTGTTATGGTTGGTGCTAGCTCCTGAGGAATTTGCCCATGTTGGAGAGATACTTCAGTCTAACGTCCCTGAGGTAAACCAGGTTTTGAAAAAATGCATCAGAACTTTTTATGTCTGCACTCAAAAGAGATGTGCTGGGCGATGGATGCAGGCACATCATGAAACACCCTTCCTATAACCAAGAGCTACTTTTAACAGACAACAGAGGCGGCCGGTTTCCCTTGCTGTTACCCTTGGAATCCGTTTTCTGTGATTATGAGGGTATAATGAAACTACTCCTTAATCTGCCAAGGACTGTGACTCTGGGATGTTGCTAAGGAGAAGTGTGGGGACCCCAGGCAGTTAGCAAAACCTGGTTGGAATCTAAGTTCCTCTCCCCTCAGCGGGTGATTCAACCCCTAAGTGTCAGCTTCTTCAACAAGAAATGTGTCCCCCTATAACAAAAGCACTTGAAAAACAATGATGAAAAAAAAAAGAAAAGAAAAAGAAAAACAATGATGGACCCTGGCCCTTAGCAGGGAGGTAGCAAAGGGCCATTATGTTCTGTGTTCTCTTCTTTAACAAACCTCAAGATCTCATGCCTCGGGCTTCTTATCTGTGAAATGAAGAACCGTGAACCAAAACTACCCAGGTTGAACTGTTTGCAAAGATAACTTTTAGGAAGCCGACTTATTATCCTAAAATTTTAGATACTCCTCAGTACGATTAAGTGACACTTTATTTCAAATGACTGATTCAGTTTTGAATCTCAGATTGGCTACTTCAACAGTTGTAGGACTACAAACTTTTTCATAGAATTTAAAAATGAATCTGAAAGGTTAGACTGATAAGAAATTATACAGGATGAGTAGTGAAGTTCAAAAAAGACGAAGTGCCGGTAAGACGTCCAACCAGCTTTACTTACCGCATCATCCAGTAAGTTTCCCGTACTCTTTTTTCCAGAAGACTTTGATGAAGGAGAAGGTGAAGGCGAAGGAGTAGAAAGTGTTTCTTCCTGCTCAATCTCTTTTTCCAATTTTATCAACCCAGGAGGTTCCACACCATACCTTTTAAAAGACGCTGGATCAATACACATGCATAACTTATAAAGATACACATACCATACGTGTTACGTTTGATCATGAACAGCATAGGACCAAATTGCTGACTATTTAAAACTAACTTTCTTTGGTCTGGCATTGAAATGGAAAGTTCTTAAACTGGTATCCTTTAAAGCAGCAAAAGACACATATCTCTGATTTATATGTATTTATCTATAGATATGTGAGTTTTGAAGATACAGGTCTATATAGATATACACACATGTACACTTATGTTTAGATATGTATACACACACATGAGTAGACAACTGACATACTAAGAATAAAAATACTCCATGTAATATATTGAGGCATTAACATGAATTAGCATGTAAAGTTTAGTCTTCAGCTTTTAGATTTACTAGCTTTTTTAAAATTTTTAATGTTTTATTTATTTCTCAGAGAGAGAGAGACAGTGCGAGCAGGGGAGGGCCAGAGAGAGAGGGAGATACAGAATCTGAATCAGGCTCCAGGCTCTGAGCTGGCTGTCAGTACAGAGCCCGATGCAGGGCTCGATCCCACAAACTGTGAGATCATGACTTGAGCCAAAGTCGGATGCTTAACTGACTAAACCACCCAGGCACCCCTAGATTTACTAACTTTGAGATTATTGCTGTAACTGAATTCCTATTTTGAACACAAGCTTGTTAAAGATGAAAATAGCAATCCCCAAGACAAATGTCCTTATTCACTGCTAATTGTACACCTCCTGTGAGTCCAGAACAAGGTACTATGGGTTATACTGTGTCATAGGTTATACTCTTAAAAATAACATACGGAGGGCCACCCGAGGGGCTCAGTCTGTCGGGTGTCCAGCTTCGGCTCAGGTAATGATCTCATGGCACAGGAGTTCAAGCCCCATGTAGGGCTCTCTGCTGACAGCTCAGAGTCTGGGGCCTGCTTCATATTCTGTGTCTCCCTCTCTCTACCCCTTCCCTGATCATGCTCTGTCTGTCCGTTTGTCTGTCTCTCTCTCTCAAAAGTAAAATAAAATAAAATTTAACAAAATTTAAAAGCAGGGGCACCTGGGTGGCTCAGTCAGCTAAGCATCTGACTCTTGGTTTTTGGCTCAGGTCATAATATCACAGCCATGGGATCAAGCCCTGTATCAGGTTCTGCACTGAGAGTGTGAAGCCTGTTTGGGATTCTCTGTCTCCCTCTCTCTCTGCACCTCCCTCACTCGTGCTGTCTCTGTGTCTCTCAAAATAAATGAATATACTTAAAAATTTTAAAAACAATATAATGAAAGTATGTATAGAGGTATGGTGAAAGAAAATGAATAGGGAGGACACAGAGAAGCAATTTAGAATAACAATATATTAAAAATTATGTGTTATAAATGATCAATACCATAGGAGTTCAAGGGAAAAAGAGATATAGATGTTATCAGCATTCTTATCTCCCATAATTATATTTTTCTTAGGCTAAATTTAAAGTTGGTTTGGTTTCTCAGATGCATATCAGTTTACCTAGGTGGGGAAGACCAAAGATGACTTGGGAATTTGGGAGTTGTGAAGGACCTTTGGGATCATCTAGTCATATGCTTATATTTTTACAGAATAAAGAATAAAGATCCAGACAGGGTACAGAACTAGCTAGCAGCAAGACAAGAAAACCCAGATTTCTTGAGTGTAGGGCTCAGGCTCTTTCTCTGGGATTTTAATCAGGTGATCACTTGTCAGAAAGAGGAGGAAAAGGTCACTTGGAAATTTTAAAAAATAGGTTATGGGTAATCTACAAAGTAAGTAATCTATAGAGAGAGAATATGTAGAAGGTATGTCTATTATCTTAGAGCAACTGGTATACTAAAAGGATCATTAAACGCAAAAGCTTAGGATTATTGTCCTATTCTAATGGCTTGTTACTTTAACATCATCACACGTGTTCAGTACACGTGTACGCTTCCTTGCTTGGAGAGGAAGCAATTCCCCCACTCTTGGTGTTTTGTTCTGAGACAGTGTTCAGTGAATTTAATCCCTGGCCTCTCTCTTTCATTACTCACTCTTTTGCATCAAGGTGAAGGGATTTATCAAATTGTAAAATCTAAGGATCAACTGAGCCTGCTCGACTCAGTTTCCCCTTCCTCTAGGGAAGAGGCTACATACAAAAAGGCCTCCAAAGAAAATTCCACCCTGATTCATCTTTGTAACGGGCCTACTTCTGGAGGTCAGTCAAAGATGCTGAGCATGTCTGTCAGCATGGATCTTATCAGTAATAAAGGTGATATTTGATGTTGCATTTGCAAGTATTTTGTTTCAATTTCTGATTTTTTTCAGAATTTAGAGGCTAAGGATGGATGCTGTGTCAGATGCTCTTTGACAGCTGGAAACTTGGAATTTAGTACAAGACAGTTTAAGCTGCCATAACTCAACTGAACAATAGCTGTTTTGAGAAATGTCTCTAGGAGACAAGCATAATTTTTAGTTACATCAATCATTAGCTAAGAGACCTAGGCACCATTTACTACATTTGTAATGTTTTGTTTATATTATTCAGCTCATGGGACATAACGGCAATATGCACTAGACTGCAAATCTGTGACAGTGGAGCCGCTGTCTGATTCACAGCATCCCCATTTGCTAACAGAGATCCTGGCATACAGTAGGTACTCAATAGCTACTGTTTGAATGAAACAAAAACCCATGGTGTCATACAGCATATTTGGGGTTCCAAATATGAACTTGATTTTACTATTCGGGATCTTTAACTGCATATCCCTTTAATAAAACATGTAAATAGTAGGTGCACATAAATAATTTACCAAAAGTTTTTCCAGGAGATTTAAAACCCTATCCAAACTAAATCAAATACATCTTACCCCCGCTTTCTACTACTTCATTAATTACACTGAACCCAACCCAGCATCTCATTACTGTTGACAAGTACCAACAATACTCACGTGGAGATTTGTGTATCATTTTTCCCTGAGGTAGCCTTGAGCTAACTGTGCCATTGACCTCATCTTTAAATTTAGCAAATCACTTAACCTCTAGAAGTCTGGTTTCTATCAGGAAAGCAGAAATGAAAACGGCCTGCCTTAGGGGTCCTATGTAGCAGTGCAGGGAGAGAGGGAGAACGTTGGAAAAACAACTAAGGTTGGCCATCTTCAATGTATCCAGCACACTTGGGCATCTAGACATACATTATTTCTCAGCGTCATTTTAAGTTCAATGTAAAATGGAAATTCTGAGGCCTGTGTTTTAACATTGTTAGAAGGAATTTTAAAGGAGTAGCCACTGTATGCTCAATACAGTGTCCAACACAGGGCATATTCTCTCAAAATGTGTTGATAATTGACATCAAAAGTTGTACCACTAGAAAACTGCAGCACTAAGGTCCTTTGGGCAAAGCTTCTGAAAAATATCTTACACCACCCAATGAAGTAATGTAACAGCCTGAAAATTAAGACGTAAAGTAGTATTATTACTACTCTTTATATTATTACTATTCTTTGTATCATTTACAAAAGAACTTATTACAGGCTTTCTTTATATCAGTTTTCAACAGCAGAAATATCTCAGCGCTGGAGACTCGCACAGCAAATTATAAATTCAGCTTTGCTACTAACTCACTGGATGAATTGCAGCAGGCCACTCTTTTTAATCTCCCTGGATTTCTTTGAATTCTTAGTCCATCAAGGTATAAAATTTTGTTATGTTTTAATGCTCTTAAGAGAATAACACAAACTGGGCAGTGAAGCTAGAGGAATTTAACACACTAGAATTCACAGCCAATTAAAAGTCAATCATAAGTAAAAACATCATATTTCAAAGTACAAATTAAGCCAATTGGAAAATATGATTTCATTTGTAATTGTCGGTGGATTCAGGCCACCTTTCAGGAATAGGCTGCATAAATTCTTTCTTTTCTTTTCTCCCTCTTCCTTCCTTCCTTCCTTCCTTCCTTCCTTCCTTCCTTCCTTCCTTCCTTCCTTTCCTTTCCTTCTTTTTTCTTTCTTCCTTTTTTCTTTCTTTCTCTTTCTCTCTTTATCCCTTCCTTCCTTCTTCCCTTCCCTTTCTCCTTCTCCCTCTCCCTCTCCTTCTCTCTCTCTCTCTCTCTCTCTCTCTCTCTCTCTCTCTCTCTCTCCAAAGTAAAATAATAAGAAATAGGTTACAGAGTAAACAACAGCCTTCACCATATCCAATACAGTCTGATACAAAGTAGACTTAGTTTGAATGAAGTTGGTAACAAAGTCATACTTAGAAAACCTTGCCCTGGAGATTTTTTCTTTATCTGGGAATGCTGAAAATTAGCTCTGCCACTGAACATAGAAAATCAACACTAAGCTCCAAATCTCTGCTTATATTGGCTTTTAAATACTTCAAGCTGCCTAAGGTAGAGTCAGCTAGTCCCAAAATGTACACTTAAATACGATTCATTGGCTTCCTGTCTGTCTGGAGATGTCAACAGGCTGTAAATCATGACATCCCCCTGGGGCTGGGGGCCCGCACCTGCAAGCCAACTTAGTTACCAAATAGGTCTTTTTTTTTTTTTTTCTACTCTCTAAAAGTCTGCTTCATTCTGGCTTCCATAATTAATTCTATACGACTTCACATTTCTACTTTGTCTGTGAGGTTTTTGCAAATCTATACTGTTTTCTATTCTTTTTTTTTTTTTTTTTTGGCTACAAGATTTTAGAGTTTTGGAAGAGAGAGTTTGTTGCTTTCACACTGAATAAGGGTCGAACTAAAAATAGCAAGAAGGTTGAAGGCACTAAAACCTTCTATATATTCCAGTGATAGGAGAGAAAAGTGAGTAATGAAAGGGCAATGACTTGGGTTTTGCCTCATTGAAAAAACAAGGCAAAGTACTAGGGAAAGGCTCTTCTGGCTAAGGACTTTATGAAGAGGTTCTAGGAATGCAGTTTTTTATTTTCCTGGCATGTGACAGAATTTTTGAGATTTGTCTAGATGACATAATTGAGCTTCCAAACTGGGCCCTAAACTAGAGAATTCATTCAAACTATATAGTAGACTAGAGTTTTCAAACAAAAGACATCTGGGGACTATTTCACTAGAGTTAGGGGGACACATTTTAAAAACACCTCCTTTTTAGGGCAGAAAAGTTTAGAGATAAACAGATATGTTTATGGTTAATGGATAGTTTATAGATTCTTGCAAGATAGTTTTGCCCCATTTTCATTCTGTTTCAAAGTAATTTAAAGATAGATTTACATTTGGAAGGAAATTTCACCTGCGTGAACACATGTGGTATTCTTAGCAGTCAGAGTCCAGTGCTTTACATAAGATGTACTAATTAATAAATTTTGTATAAGAGTATTTTTTAAGCAACATTTCGTTAGGCCATGGATTGAAATAGGAAACATATGAAAACATTCACCAAGTATATTTCTTTCAAATGGTCATAAATTGTGTTCAAAATGAAGGAGGTATTCAAAAATAAAAATATAAAAAACTCCGCTAAGACATTACGTATTGATTATGGCCCCCAACTGTTGAAAATTTTTAGCTTTTAGCATAAAGCTAATCTTAATTCTGCAGTCTGTAAAATACTCATAGGAATATTTTTTAGTAATGGATATCAAAGCATTGTCATTACAAAAGATTTTCAGGTTTTATTGACCTGCTTTTGCTGAGTGTTTTACTTTCCAAAAGAAAAGCATGCATATTTTACACTCAGAAACTGAGTTGGTTTCTGAAATATTAACAGTGGGAGTTCACTCTCCAGTGATGATAGCTCTATTTAGCTGAAAATAAAAGGAGTTTTACCCGTGAGAACAAATATAAGTGGTCTCATTCTCCCATCTCAGAACTCAGAGAAGCCCAGCTCCAAGGGGCTTCGCTGAGTTTTCCCAGGCAAAAGAACACAGCAGAGAATCAGAAGCATCTTGAGAATCATATCTGAAGTGACGCTGATCCTTTTAAGACAACATTTGTGTAATTTTAAGAAGTAAATGTTCACAATCAAATATTTAAAAAAACATCATCTGTCAGTGATTTTTTAAATGCACACAAGCTCACAAGATTGTACTGGAGACTTTGTTATGGTTACAACTCGTCTACTGCGTGTGCAAATTAATGTCTTGATTTTTTTTAATGTCTTGATTTTTAAGAACAAAGCTGCCAGTTTTGGCTAAAGCTGCCTTAACTCAATAATTTAGGTAATCCTCTGTGGAGGAGTGGGGAGCGGAGGAAGCACAAAATAAAGATGTAGACATGGGTTTTAATATGTCTACAGAAAAATTTAGGAGTAAAATTAGATCAAGTGGATGAGTTTTCCTTTTTTTTCCTTTAACTAATATGCTCCAACTTAGGGTTTAGGTAATGAGATTTGGGTTTACTGGGCTGTTGTCTGTAAAGCACAACTGAACTTCCATTAAAATTTTAAAAAAAATCTTCAAATGTGTACAGATAGAAATTTAGGCATACATTTGTTTATTTTTTATTTTTTAATGTTTTTATTTATTTTTGAGGAAGAGAGAGAGAGAATGAACAGGGGAGGGCAGAGAGAGAGGGAGACACAGAATCTAAAGAAGGCTGCAGGCTCTGAGCTGTCAGCAAAGAGCCTGATGCAGGGCGCAAATCCAGGAACCATGAGATCATGGCCTGAGCTGACTGAGACACCCAGGTGCCCTGTTGATACATTTATATTTAAGTGTTCAATCTATTCACTCGGTGTTCGACTGGTTTACCTTATCCTGCACACAACAAAAGTAACACCCTGAACAACCTCAACAAATTTCCGGTGTAGGTGTGCAATACTTCACATCACTCAAATAGGTGAATAAAAGAAATAGCAATGTTTACAAACTGAGCACTGGAACATAAAGGTTATCTTAATCCTCAGATAATTCCTTTGTGAAATTTGTAATTTTTTTTTTGTAATGTGAATAATTACTGCTTTCGTCAGCTCCCATGGTCATAAGTGTGGTAAGAAATGGAGCCATCCGTTCTTATCACAGATGATGATGATGATGATCATGATGATGATGATAACGATGATGCAGGATGAAAATTTGGGCGGTGATGGTTAGATTTATGGCATAGATTGCAGTATGGCTTCAAAGATATATACTTATCTCCAAACTCATCAACTTGTGTACATTAAATACGTACAGTTTTTTCTTTGTCAATCCTATGCAATAAGTGCTTTAAAGAAAAGGAAAGACACGGAGCAACCCGGATCTCAATTTTTTCAAATTTTGGGGAAAAAAACCCCACAAAACTTGACATGATCTTTCATCATAAAGTTTATCATGCCATTATGATCCTCTTTCATTAAAATTAAGATTTTCATTTGTTTTCTGTACTATGGCAAGGGGCCATTTATGCCAGACTCCGAGATTTCTAAAGGGACTTAATATTGGGGAGCGCGTCTTCTCCTTTGATGACTCAGTCACAGTTAGAAAGTTTATGCCAGAAGAATTCCTAATCAGAGTGTTCTGGGCATAGAAAGCATAATTACAAAAAATAAAATAAACCCAGAAAATAGGCAACGAATACAAAATAAAAAGAGGAAAATGACAACTCACAGCTAATTCTGCAGGTGGTACAACTCCTCTTTACCTCCATATCACAGCTTTCAGAATCATGATGCTTATTTCATACATATATTGAGATTAGTAAAGCAACAAAATGGAATCTGGCATTTTAGAATAGTCTAGCAGTACAATTACAATTAACAACTGAGGGGCGTCTGGGTGGCTCAGTCAGTTAAGTGTCCAACTTCAGCTTTGGTCATGATCCCACAGCTCATGGGTTTGGGTCCCACGTCAGCAGCCTGGAGCCTGCTTCGGATTCTGTGTCTCCCTCTCTCTCTGCCCCTCCCCTGCTCGTGCTGTATCTCTCTCTCTCTCTTAAAAATAAACAAACATTAAAAAAATTTTAAATAAACAACTGAACAGAAAGTGTTCTGCCTGTCCTTCTATTAAGCAGGACCTCTACACCATCCATGTTTCTCCCACTTTAACATTTTAGGGGCAGCTGCTCATTTACTGAGATTTTACTTGGTGTGTTTTCCTCCCTCCAAGTATTTTTAACTTCCCCCTTTTTAGGGGATATCTGTAGCGTCTTTGGTACTCCTTTGACTCAAGGCTGTTTGCCCTACAGGTCAGAAGCCTCAAGACTGGTGGTGGAGTAGCTTAGCAGAGTCCTAGCTAAGTCCTTCCGTGTCGTGTTCCCTCATAGAACCCAAGAGGTGACAGCGCTGGAGGGGGTGGGGTCCCCAGAACAGCTTGACGCTACAAGCTCAAGCGAAGCCCTAGTGCTACAGACATCAGCGGACAGAGGACTAGGGCCCCTCTCCCAAGACCTTCACACAGAATCTGGGAACAGAGCGAGGGAGAATTGGGAAACCTCCAAATGTCTCAAATTGACTTTTTCACTTTGAGCAGAGCCTCAGTCATAGTTACCTTGAATTCTTTAAAAATTGAAAAAAAAAAATCTTTCTCATACCCGCTTGTTGTGATAAAGCAAAATTCCTGGCTGATGTACAACTTTTTGAGATTATGTTGCTATCACGTTTTATAGAACTTGGAGTTACTTCTGATTGCAGGTTAGTTTTCCATTGGATCAAACAAAACAGAATAAAACAACACAAAACAAAACTCAAGTCTATTCACTGGCAGCAAGCTTTCTACCCAATGCTGTAGTCTGCTGACATGCACACCCTGTATTCTCTTGACGGTGATTTCTTTATGAATTTCTCTCTGAGAACTTTCACCCAGAGCCAGTGCTCTCTTTATCTTATTGGTTCATCCGATCTCTGTCCTAAAAGTATACCCAGATCTAGATGAAAAAACATCTTCCAATCAATTCTTAAGTTTTATTTTGAATCAAGACTTCTTCCAACACTTATATCCTCGTTTCTAATTCTTTGGGCTTCATGGACCTGTCAGAAGTTGCATTTGGTCATTTGCCAGATAATAAAAGAGAAGACGTGAAACCAAAGCAGATTAGCTGAGGTAATAAAGTCCCTTTCTCTGCTGATCTAGCTAGGATTACGACTTCTACAATTACTTCCATTTTCTTAGAAGAAAAGGAGTCCAAACCTATCGCCACTTATGAAAGATGATATTCTATGCTTGTCTCTAATCAAACTATGGAGAATAATTTATAAACTATCCCCCCACTTGGAACTAGAAGCGAAACGAGCTGATAGGTGCCTGGGTGGCTCAGTCAGTTGAGCATTTGACTCTTGATTTCGGCTCGGGTCATGATCTCAGTGTCATGGGATCGAGCTCCACTCCAGGCTGAGCAAGGAGCCTGCTTGAGATTCTCTATCTCTCTCTCTTTAGCTCTCTCTCTCTGCCCTCTCCAACTCTCAAAATAAATAAATAAACATTTAAAAAATAAAAATAAAAGAGCTGAGAGTTGTTGAATGAGGGAAAATGAGAAAAGAAGATCAAAAGAGGAGATAATTATTAAAATTATTAAATTTTAAGAAATGTATTAAATAATAATAAATTATATTAGGGATTATATTAAGAATTAAACTGCAAAGAATAAACAGGGAAAGAGAAGGAAAGAGAGTTGGGAGAGAGAGACAGAAGAGGAATAGACTTTAGTGGAAAGAGTAATTGTCACATACGACTTCATGTACAAGATCCTCCCCCTCCCCCAAGAAAAGGTTGGAGGGAAAATCTATTGGATTGGAGGATATGTTTTCAGTAAATGCTTATTAGACATAGTGCCTTAGAGAAGATCGTGGTGTTAAAACTATAGGTGACATGCTTTTATTTTGAACAACTGCTCTTGAGATGTTCGAACCGATTATATGAGAAAGTAGATTCTCAAAACCCAAGTTAAATTAGCAATGAAAAACCAGCAAGCATCTCCATCACTTCGATGCTGAGGATGGTTCACGTCTTGACATAGTGGCAGCAGTCTGACCTACCTGGCTGCAATCCGGCCAAGCTCTAGCAAACAGAGACACACTTCTCTGGGTTGCTTGTGGAGGACTGAAAGACAAGACAGAGGTGGACACCTTTACAATAGAAGGGATTGTAAAGCAGCTCAATAGCTAACAGGCTTGCCAATGACCTCTCATCCCTCCCGCTTCCAGTAAATGAGATAGTCTTCATTCTGACATTCACAGAAGCCATCCTATCCCACGATACACTTAGCTCTACTAAAGTCTTTCAAAACGCTGCCCAACATCCTTCCTCAAAGCCATGAGTCTCAGGAAATCTCATCCGGAGTAAATCTCCTCCAGAAAATGTTTTACTTTATTAGTTAATATTAATAAGCCAATATTGGAAACATTAGTAGCTGTGCTATTATATAAATACTTGATATTTTAAAATACACAGTACATGGGGCAACTGGGTGGCTCAGAAGGTTAGGCATCCAAATCTTGATTTCAGCCCAGGTCATGATCTCATGGTTCATGAGATCAAGCCCTACATTAGGCTCTGCACTGATAGCGTGGCCTGCTTGGGATTCATCCCCCACCTCTCTCTCTCTCAATCAAAATAAATAAATAAACATTACAAGGGCACCTGGGTGGCTCAGTCAATTAAGTGTCTGACTTTGGCTCAAGTCATGATCTCATGGTTCATGAATTCAAGCCCCATGTTGGGCTCTGTGCTGACAGCTCAGAGCCTGGAACCTGCTTCAGATTCTGTATCTCCCTCTCTCTCTGTCTCTGCCCTTCCCCTGCTCGTTCTCTCTCTCTCTCTCTCTCTTGCTCAAATACTCTTTCTCTCAAATATAAATAAATATTTTAAAAAATAAAAAATGAATATACAGGGGAGGCTGGGTGACACGGTTGAGCGTCCAACTTCAGCTCAGGGCTTGATCTCTCAGTTCAAGAGTTCGAGCCCTGCATCAGGCCCTGTGCTGATAACTCAGAGACTGGAGCCTGCTTCAGATTCTGTGTGTGTGTCTCTCTCTGCCCCTCCCCCACTCATGCTCTGTCTCTCTCAAAAATAAATAAACATTAAAAAATTTTAATAAAGTAAATAAATACACATTACAAAAAAAGATTTAAAAAATTTATTTGCTAAAATACACAGTATTTTTAGCAAACACAGTATTTTAGCAAAAGACAATGGAGCAAAGACTAGACTTTGCAAAATCCTGAGTCTATCTTCACCAATGATTTCAGCAGAAATAATGCAATGAATAAGGAGAAAAATTATACACCACAGTCGTTTGTTATCCACCACGCAAGAACATCAAGTGAGATTCTGAAATTTGATGTCCTTTGCTGATCAAGTCTGATTAAGTTGTACTTTAGAAAGATATACTTTCAAATGAATGGATTTGCAAATGCATATCAGCATATATATTATCAGTCAGCTTTGCCCATAAAATGAGCAAATTAGTAGACTGTCCTTTGTATTGATCAAATTCTAATATAATCTGATTACTTAATAAAACTTGCTTTTCTAATTGCTTTGGACACATTCAGTAATGCTGAAAAATCATACTTGGATTTGTTGAGTCTACCAAGAGTATTTCCTGCTTGCATTGCTCTCTATAAGCCAAGATAGAGAATTTTAAAAATATTATATTTATTTAAAAAATATACAGCACTTAATAAAGTCAACAGGTATTGAAAAAATTATATTGACTTGAGAATGGTCTTTACATGACAATATCCTGATAAAAGAAAATACTAGCTTATTGATGGCTTATTGATATATTTTAAGATAAATGATATTGCTTTAATTCTTAAACATAGAATTTTATAATTCCATTTCCCAGCATCATTCAATTCCTTTAACTTAAATATCTTATTTTTTCTCCCCACAGATTATGATAGTGGCAATATTTGATTCACTGACACCAGAATGGAATTTGTTTGTGATGAGTATAAAGAGAACATTTAGTTGGATTGTAAAAATATATGATTTCACTTGGCTTTAGACACAATTTTGTCATCTTGTTATAAAATGTCACCTTTAAACCTTTTAAATTAAATTCTATCCCCATCAACAATGCCCTTTAAGATAAAATTATGGAAAATCTCAATTATAGACTATTTCAATTCTTGGTATTATAAAACTTAGTTTTAGCTGACCCTCAGTGAATTCCCCTTATTAAGAAGCCTAAAATTATTTCTAATTTAAAAATCTTAAAATATGGATATTTGCTACTTCCAATTTCAAATGCACTACTGGTTGACCCTGGCTGTGATATATTAAGTCGACTTCAGTGCAATATAATGTAGGGACTGTAATATCTCATAGGCATCAATTTCAAAAAGAGAACAATAACAAACATTACAAAGCAGACGCTAACAAATGAATCAACCTTCCTGTCTAGATAATCAATTTTTTCTGATTCAGGCTTTAAAAAAAAATACCCTGTCCATGGAACAAGATAATAAACTGGAGTTTTGAGTGAAAACACGAATATACAAAAACTGAAGAGAGGAAGATTCTTAAGGCCCTGTTAATACTCTCATCTTCAGGGAAAACTGTGTGAAGCAAGTGGCTACAGCAGCAGGAGATGTGGATAAAATCTCATGCATTTCTTGATGGAAACAGTGTCAAATCATATAAATTTCTAGTGAATGGACCATATTAGGTCAATGTGCAGTCACTACCCAGGTTTAAAAAGTAATACTTGACCCAGCTATGCTGATTCCTTAACCAACTCATTATAAATATTTTGAGGACTATATAAGCACTGGGATAGATACATTTTATGGAAAATAAAATTGATCCTGAAAAAAAAAATACAATCATCTGGCTAATGAAGGAAAGACAATGTGATATATAAGACACATTACTATTGTGTACTTCTTTGCTTCCTCAATTAAGTTAATCAACTTAAAACAGATTTGGCATGCCTAAACTCAGGTGTTGAATCTACCATGAACTCCTCAGAAAATTAATTTTGGCAAACTAAACAGCAACTGTATGATTCCTCATATCCTCAACAGAATCAGCCTATACAATTTAAGACAAATGAACTTCTTTAGCACGATTTCTTAGGAAAAACTAGTAGAATGATAATATTTTACAGCCCGATTTTCTTGGAAATATATTTTATAAAGGAAAAAACTGCTTCAAAAAAACCCACCTGTGTTATTGTATCACATATTAATGGCTTTTTTAATCGGTGTATTATACCTGGCTCATAATGACCAAACCCCTCAAAAAACAAAAAACAGTATCTGATGACTAATAAGCAATGAATGAGATGAATCCGTACAGATGTATAATTTAACACAAAACAGTAATGGCTCAGTAAATAATATATCTCAAAACTCAAGGACGGTGGCAATCATCTGGTGATGAGAGTGGTATTGACAATGAACTAGATAAAGACTAAAACCTTACCTGGTGCCTTGAGAAAACGCAAATTATATCAATGTTTGCTTAATTGTAAAAGCAAATATTCTTCCCTTATTGCTATAAAATTAAATTCAAGAGTCTTCCAATAGTATCTAAATTTGCTGAAGTGGTGACTTTATTTGGTTTTTACACTCAAGCAAGTTCTAAACTAAGTTAATAGAAAGAGATTCAAATCACAAAGATCTGAGTGTGAGTGTGAATGCTTACTGGTTGTATTATCTTTTGGGTGGTTATTCTATAAGATCTCATTTTTCTGAAGAAAAACAATAGTGTACACCTTGCAATATTTTCGTGAAGATTAAGTGAAATAATATTTATTGTTATTCTTAGCACAGTGCTTGTCACATAGGAAAGATTTGCCCAAGGTTAGTTTTATTATTTTTTAATTTTTTGCTATAAATTCTTTGTTTAAAGATTATCTTCATTTAGCTTAGACAACAATAATTCATTCATTTTTGTTCCCTAAAAACCTGTTACTGTGTGTGTTCCAATCAGATATTTGTCACTACACTAAGCACTATAAAATCTTTGGAATAGGGACACCTGGATGGCTCAGTTGGTTAAGCGTCTGACTTCAGCTCAGGTAATCATCTCACGGTCCTTGAGTTCAAGCCCCATGTCAGTCTCTGTGCTGACAGCTCAGAGCCTGGAGCTGCTTCAGATTCTGTGTCTCCCTCTGCCTCTGTGCCCTCCCCCGTTCACACTCTGTCTCTCTTTCTCTTTCTCTCTCTCAAAAATAAATAAGTATTAAAAAAAGCTTTGGAATAAAAAAATCACTAGTGGTAGAATGTGTATAATTTAAAGTGGTCTTATTATAGTGAGTGTATTTTGAATATTTTATCATTTATTTTATATCAGAAATCATTAATAATAAATCAATCTAAATCAAATGCCAGGTTAAGTAGGTCAAATTGGGCAGCATATGCAGAAATATAAAGCAGATATCCCATACCTATCACAAGTTTGTGTTCAGTATAGAGCGTAAGTAACAATTATATTAAAATATGTCATTTTGTGGAACAGCAAACATCTTACATTAGTTTTCCTGTCTCTGTGAATAAAATAATTTAGATGAGTTCATGTTTAGTAAATTACCTAAGTTGATAATGTATTACCAATTGCATGTCTTTGTCATGATGACTTTTAGTATATTGCATTTGAACAAAAGACTTTGTATCTAGTCTTAAGTATATTCATTTTAAACAAATCATTTTATTGATTCATCCTTTTTAAAAAAACATGAAAACCTCTACTTATACTGAAGTTTACAGTAGAAAACATCTTTTTCACTCTGTCACTGAAACATTTGCATAGTCTTCTGCTTTAAGTTAGGAGACTAGGGGATCGCTGCTTTTTATTTCCTCTAAAAAATTCTTTTTAAAACAAATCAAAAGCACTCTAGTCAACGGTAATTATTATGTCAAAGGTTTTGTCATTGGGGTTTTTCTTTTAAATAATCAAAACCATCTCAAAGAAAAGCAGAATGTGGAACACCTCTGGGGAAAGTAACACAGATCCCTATTCAAAAATATGTGGCAAGAGACTCAGTCTTATAACCTAGATTCTATAAAAATCTCATGGGCATCAAATGTCAAACGGAGTGCTGTTAGCTCCAGGAATAGAAAATGAGGCCCTCCACTAAAGCAAAGGGT